CAACATAATATAAAGTTTAATGAAAATAGCGATATGTATACTTAACAGGGCAATGTTTTTCAGACAGTCGCCTTTGTTTATGAACCTTATGAAATTCATCAATGCACAAAGTGATACCACCCTAAAAATTGTATTAGTTTGGATTGATACAAGCTGACAGCGGATCTGTTTTAAAGCTAAAACACGGTACTGCTTGTGATTATTATCATTTGGGAATATATTCTTAAATAAAATAATGAAGTAGTTATCATTGCTGTTACAACAACAAAATCTAGCACCACTCTTCGCAACATGTCCCTAATGAAGTGGCTGCCTGAAATTTATACCTACGTACTTTTCATCGACAGCATCTATGGAAATGTGTGCGCATTCTACAGGTAGACTCAGTGCTGTTTTAAGAAGTCTGGGGCCCGAGGCACAAACACTAAACTGCCAACACAACCGTCACCGAAATTTTGTTTTTGGGCAGCCGTCAGGCACACAGCTTTGCGGAGCCTTAGGCACGTGTTTCACGTGCCTACGTCTTAAAACGGTACTGTGAAGACTATGTTCGCCTATGAAAATTTATGCGCGTGTGTATGTGTGTGAGTGATTGAGTGAGAGTGAAAGAGAGTGTGAGTGATTATGACAGAGCAAGGTCGCAATCAAAATATTTGAACAGCATGACTTACTGTTTAAAACATTTGGACTTGAACTCCAAAGTTTGAGTCAGCAAGTTTATGTTTGACTAGGGTCAATCCATACTGAACACCTTTGAAAGCAAACCAACCGTCGCTATAAATCTTAATACTAACTTTTGTTGTATATGATTTCCCACCCAACGTTTTCTCGACCTTCTTGGAAAGCTCCCGCTGTTTTGAAGGGTGAGTATTCTAATATTGCAACTATTGAAGTCTGCAAAACACAGGTCTGAGACGAATTTGGAACGTCAAGGCCGCAACACACACTCTCTCTCTCTCTCTCTCTCTCTCTCTCTCTCTCTCTCTCTCTCTCTCTCTCTCTCTCTCTCTCTCTCTCTCTCTCTCTCTCTCTCTCTCTCTCTCTCTCTCTCTCTCTCTCTCTCTATATATATATATATATATATATATATATATATATATATATATGGATGCAACTTTCAAATTCATTTTGTCAGAGCTTTTAAATGAGAATTTCATTTGTTTTGCTTGGTTTTTTTTTATTCATTCACAGAATTACGTATTGTACATCGCAAACCTAAATCTAATTAGTCTCGAGATGTAAGTCAACATTACGTCTAATTAACTTACATACAATCTTTTGCATATTATTCACTGCTAATGTCTGAAAAGGCAATGCCAGTGGATCGGATCGGTTATTTTCTTTCTTAGTTCATACAGATATAAGCAACAACAAGACGGGCCAATCTAATCGATAGATATCGTAACGCGGAAAGAAAACTAATTATTTTTACAGGATATTCTTTTGGAGAATTTCTTTTTGCAAAATATATAATTATGCAAAACAGATACTGGTTTATCTGCATCAAAATATTCATCAATATTCAAGTAGTTTTAGCACTACAATGTTTAAAAATTAATATTATTGCCGATACATGCATATATGATATATCCATTACCTACACTCAGACATAAGATGTTAATTAGGGTTAATTAGAGTGTAATAATATGGCACAGATACCTACAAGAGTGATAAGATTTTTTTTATAATCATGGTTGAAATCCATGTTTAGGAAATACAAATTATTTGGCCACGCGCCCAATGAGAACATCCATCTTAAGCAGGAACGATTTTATCATCCAATCAACAGTAAATTATTCTTTTTTATCTGATCTTTTCTTCTTTTGTAGCGCTCACTATTAAAGATGTTGTTTCCTAACTTCCACGGTTGGTGTGTAAACCGTAAGGCGAGTAAAAGTAGTACGTTAATTTATTGACATGATGTGGAGCAAAGATTTTCCAAAAATAAAAATCTCTGAGATATACCTACGTAAACTGTGATTCATATCATTACTTCTGTCAGAAAAGCGTTAAGAAAAACAAATGATCTAATACGACAGTTCTGCACGAGATTGTCATCTGATTTGAAATTTTGTGTTTGTTGTGTACTGACATTAAGGAGTAAAATAAGCAAAATTGATATTATCACCCTTTCACTAGACAAGATTTATCGATAACTTCGCACTTGTCTGGATTTCATGATCGTTATTCTGTCCCAATACAATGCACAAGTAAGTATTGGCAACCGATGCATAAATATTGTATTACGTATTCGAATAAATTGTACTGATAACAATCTAGGCGGAAAATAATGATTTTTCTTAAGCTTATTCCCTAAGAAAACATTAACATTTTTGTTCAGGACACATTTGCGAACGTCGCTATAAAACTGAAATCTCCACTGAAATCATTGAAATCAGCATATTCTTCATGTCTTGCAGAATTAATTTTTAAAAAAGAGGAAGTCAAACAAACGTTGCTTGAGCAATCTGCATTTTTGTCTGTAAATTTGGAAGGCAAATGTAACAATTTGTTGCAGCGTGTATTGTGTACTCTATAGTGGGGAAGAAGAAGGCAAAAGGTTTAAGCCGTCGAACGTCATATAGACACGAGGGGTATTTTAAAAATTCTTATTACTGCGCTGTATAACAAAGTTTTTTATTAGTGAGCAGTACATCAATGCATCCCCTTCAAATTACTCCTGAATGCACACCTACCCACTACAAACTTATCTCTGATTCTCCAATTGTTAAATATAGTGTTGCATTCATTTTTGGGTATGTTCATTCTCTGGAAACACCTGAGGGTTTAAAATCGTCTGTCCCTCAGCGAATCTTCGATAACGGGATTCAACTGACAGTCACGTGGAGCTAAATCAGGGCTGTATGGAGGATGCAGCAAAGTTTAGTGTCTGTGCTCCTTCAGTTAGCCTGTCACGACGATGGATTCAAGAAGTCTCTCACAACGGCGGATTCAAGAAGTCTATCACGACGGTGGATTCAAAAAGTCTCATGATGGTGGATTCAAGAAGTCTCTCACGACGGTGGATCCAAGAAGTCTTTCACGACGGTGGATTCAAGTCTCTCACGACGGCGGATTCAAGAAGTCTTTCACGACGGTGGATTCAAGAAGTCTCTCACGACAGTGGATTCAAGAAGTCTCACGACGGTGGATCCATGAAGTCTCTCACGACAGTGGATTCAAGAAGTCTCACGACGGTGGATTCAAGAAGTCTCTCACGACGGGGCTATTATGCTCCTATACGTTGTCATGGAATAGATGGACACTTCGGGTGCAGATGCATAGCAGGGTGGTTCAGTAGAATTTCTCATTTTTTGGCAACAGTTTGTAGACACAGAACTACTAAGAATCACAGCAAGGTCGGGAAGATGTACCTGTATACCGGGTCTTTTGTATCGAGATATAATGCGTATCCAACTTTTGTGACAGATCCATCACGTCTGACAATTTGTAGCCTCTGCTAGTTTTCTCCGATCCAAACTTTTTTTTTCTTTTTTTGGTTCAAATAAGTAAATCCATGTTTCATTGTCTGCGACAATCAAATTGAAATATCTCTGGTCATTATTTGCGTATAGCTGAGTAGCTGTTTTGGTGATTTCTATTGTATTCTGCTTTTTTATCAGCTGCCAACAAATGTCCCATAGCATCAATACTTCCGGTTCACCAATCGCAGGCAACATACATGAATTCGTGAATATCTTTAAAACAATGAAACCACTCACAATTCGAATAGGATATAACGGAGAGAACTACACGTCATTCTGATTTCAGCCAGAGAGTACCACAAAAGCCCCTGAATTTTAGTTTTCTATTTGATTAGTAGCATATTTATTTCCTTTTCTCACAACTCTTTTTTTTTTGTGGTCCTGAGCGGTCGAGTGGTTTAAAGCGCAGTCCGTTACGGATCACTGCAATCTCACCTGTCTGCGTGGGTTCGAGTCTAGCATTCGGCGAATGTGGATATGTGAGAAAGCTTGCCAGTAGCTTCTCGTGGGTCGGTGGTTCTTTCCGGTGATTTCCCGGTTTCTTCCTCAAAAATTAATACTGGCCGCCATGAATAGCCTATCGTGTGCTGAAAAATGGCGTTAAACCCACAACAACAACATCAACAACAACAACAACAACAACAACAATTCACAATTTTCCGTCACTGCTATTTACCCATGTTACGTCACATTAATAAGAATAAATGTAGGTGTATGGCGCACTGTACATACAGTTGAAAATCATTTTATAGAACGCCATGTTGTCTAACGATCATCATTTTATTTTTGACAGGTTCAAATAAACATGAAATTTCCAACAACATATATTCATAACTTTTCAGGCCTCGTTTTGAAAGGTATTTTTATCTCATAAATATCTTGTTTACCACATTCACAACGACATAGGCATTTTATGTAATACCTAAGTCATAACTGCACGTAGACCTTCTGTAAGGATCATCATTATAGACTAAGTATTTCTAAATATCTAAACTATTTACTGTGTGTCTAAATTCTAAAAGTGGGGTGTTTTATAATATACCTTTAAAGCTTATTATTGATCCCTGACATTTGGTTATTTCCTGTTAGAGACCACCAGTGTTGTAGATAAAACACTTTGTAGACATGAAACATTCCAAGAATTTGAGAGATTTATGACAAATATATATTTCAGATACAAAAACTTAGCTAGTCATATCAACATGCTTTACATTTTAGGTAGGTACGTGCATGCGTGCATGCATAAGTGTGTGTGTTTGTGTGTGTGTGTGTGTGGTTTGGGTTGTTTAACGTAGCTTTAACTGTTTTTCAGTTATATCGCTCTGATATCTGCAGTGTGCAGTGTGGTAGTTTATAGTGATGTCTAGCACTGGGACATCATGCTGCAGGCATGTAGCATGATGTCCCACCCAGTCCCATTATCCTGACACCAGACCAACCAGTTTTAGCACTAACCTCTCAATGCAGAGCGCCAATCGAGGCAGCTGTTAGCACTATATTGGTAAGTCTTTGGTATGACTCAGCCGGAATTCGACCCCAAGACCTCCCGCATCCGAGGCGGACACTCTAACCACTAGGTCACCGAAGCGGTATGTATGTATGTATGTATGTATGTATGTATGTATGTATGTAGGTAGGTAGGTAGGTAGGTAGGTAGGTAGGTAGGTAGGTAGGTAGGTAGGTAGGCAGGCAGACAGGTATGAATGAATGAATGAATGAATGAATGAATGAATGAATGAATGAATGAATGAATGAGAGTAACGTTTTGAGATAGATATTATGTATATATTTCAATATCATTCTGTTTTTCCTGCTGGATCAAAAATTGCTTTTTTTTAAATGAAGATCTTTTTATCCTATAGATGTATAAAAAATTCGAAGTATTTGTTTTGTACGGCTGAAAGTGAAACACGATATGCGTCATGAACATATATTGCGACGAAACTGAGCCACATGGATAAAAAAATGTCACCTTTCAGGACATATGTCAGTATTACTAGTGATAAAAAAAACTGCTCCTGAAGGAGATCAGTATGTAATTTAATGACTTGGAAATGTCCCTCTCCATACAGTATCACAAATGAAGGGAGTTATGCTGCATCAGTGGCTTGTTCGTGTGCGTTCATTTGGATGATCAAGTTCTAGACATTTGATCCTTGAATGGGAATGCAATCCTCAAACCAATGCTAAGAATATGAAAGTAGAATTTGAAACTTGCGTGACGATAGTGTCAAACCTTGCTTGGGACCGAAAACAGAAGCCTACCGCGAGAACGAAAGCATCCGGAAGATGTAAAAGAAGACAGGATATATAAAATAGACCAGAAAAGCTTCAAGTAAATAAAAATAAAAGATAAATGCCAAGTGAAAGATAAGCGTGAATAAAGACAATTGGTGGGCTATATTAGAATGAATGTCACCCTAAACAAGGTCATTTTGGCTTTTCCCGCCGAGAAATCGGATTACCCAAAAGCACCAACGTCTGATAGGTAAAGAACGATATTGTTCAGTACCTAGGTCATATTGGTAAAATATTCAGAGTACCCGAACTATTCAACCATAACCATTTTATTCCCTTAATGAGGATAACTATTTTATTTCCTTAAAAAGGATCGGTTTGCTGAATGTGTGTTCAATAAACACAACAAAGAAAACTATGTTAAATTAGTTATAGATTCTGGTAAAATATACTCAGTGTTAGAATTATCCAACATATTTTTACTTGTGCACAAAACCAAAAGAGATAAATTAAAAAGTAAGTAATTTTAAAGGTTTAAGAATGTAACTGATGCATTTTATCATATCCATAGCATGTATGTCTGCAAATAACAACGGCAGCAAATATACGCATTTCCCCTGTATTAGCATCAGTCTATACATGACATGAAAGTGATATTTCTAACTTGGTAGGACATATGATGAAAAACCTTTCAAAGAATTAGTACTGCTCTACACCTATAAAAGATATTTCAAATGCGAATCGACGTTCCATTCTTCTCAAGTGTTTACAAAACTGTAGTATTTTTGTATGTATGTATGTATGTATGTATGTATGTATGTATGTATGTATGTATGTATGTATGTATGTATGTATGTATGTATGTGTGTGTGTGTGTGTGTGTGTGTGTGCGTGCGTGCGTGCGTGCGTACGTACGTACGTACGTACGTACGTACATATGTATGTATGTATGTATGTATGTATGTATGTATGTATGTATGTATGTATGTATGTATGTATGTATGTATGTATGTATGTATGTATGTATGTATGTATGTATATACGAATGTTTCGAATTTTCAAGCTCTTCGTCAGGGGAAGAAACATTACAATAATAAAGCAAACACGTAACAGAAAAGCTGCGAGAAAACTTGAATTATTTACATGATTAAATGACAGGCTTCTTTACGAAGAATCAAAATGATATCGATGGTACTAAGATAACACTTTTGAGATATTTTGTAATGATATCGATGGTACTAAGATAACACTTTTGAGATATTTTGTAATGATATCGATGGTACTAAGAAATAACTTTTGGGATATTTTGTAATGATATCGATGGTACTAAGATAACACTTTTGAGATATTTTGTAATGATATCGATGGTACTAAGATAACACTTTTGGGATATTTGGCAGAAATTTATAAAATATATTAGCATTGCTTGGCTGCAGGTGCGTATATTTGTTCTATTTTATTCTCAACATCAGGGGAAAAAAACCTGGGTTGTTTTTACATTTGCTTGGAAACTTGTCCAATATATTGCACATGTCACTTCATCGGGGAGATTGTTCAGATCAGTTATCAATCCAATATCAAAACTGTTTTCCATCTCCAGTCTCAGTAACAAAACCTTTTTCATGTTCAATCTCAATATTAAAATTTTTTTAGATGTCAAATCTCAATAGCAAAGCTTTTTTATGTCCAATCTCAATAGCAAAGCCTTTTATCATGTCCAATCTCAAAATCAAAGCTTTTTTATGTTTAATCTCAATATCAAAGCTTTTTTCATGTCCAATCTCAATATCAAAGCTTTGTTATGTCCAATCTCAATATCAAAGCTTTGTTATGTCCAATCTCAATATCAAAGCTTTGTTATGTCCAATCTCAATATCAAAACTGTTTTTCATGTCCATCTCAATATCGAAGCTTTCTTTCATGTCCAGTCTGAAAATCGAGTCTGTTTTTCATGTTCAATTTAAATGATTTTTGACAAATTTGTTTGAAACTGTCCTTTCACTCTGTCCTTCTCTGACCTTAAAAACAAAATTTAAACCTGTACTTTTTATATGTTCAAATTAAGGCTGCCCGACTGAATTGTCACGTCTCCTTTTCCGCATTGATTGGTAAATGCTAATTGGCTGTACTTTGTCGGATAGATATTAGGCGCCGCTTAATTTATTTATATATCAGCTAGGCTGAGTACGTGAGGTTTGGCAAGTTACTTGGCCTGAAAGAAATCGATACATCAAGATGAAAGATGAATACCTCCTTCAAAATATATTCCTTAAGTATCATAAATCATTAGTGCAACAAAAAACAGTTTTATGCATTAAATATTTTCAATCAATTCATTCATTTACCTAATTCTCTATATCTTCATTTTTTCATCCATCCATTTCATCAATATATCTGATTCTCCGTATTTATTTTTTTATTTTTTTGTATATTTATTTATTTATGTATTTATTTGCATTAGTTAGTTAGTTAGTTAGTTAGTTAGTTAGTTAGTTAGTTAGTTAGTTAGTTAGTTAGTCTTTTATAAGTTCTTATAAGGAGGTTAACTTCTTTAAGAAGACAAGCGTTCTCGTAAATGTTTTACATTTTGAAAAGAAAAACTACTAATGCAAATGACAAATGACTTTCTGTGTGCTTCACCCTGCTTTTCTAATTGAAGAATTAGTCACTCGGAACAATCAATTTGGTTCATGATAATTTTGCTCCAAATAAAACTTTGTTCAAAATAATTCTCCTTTACTGAGATCCATAAGACCGAAATTGTCACTCTTCGATTCTATATTAATGGTTTTGATTTGTACTATGTAACAAGACCAAAAATAAAGTTTCAACATATTTAAACTGAACAGAATATGTTGCTGGATTTGAAATGATGGTTTACTGAATATAGGAACTATATATTAACAAGGTATGAAATGTAAGATGGAGTATGGAAGAATGACAAAGTAAATTTGGGACAACTGCATGCATTGTGTTACGTCCTCCACAATTATATATACAGGAACAAAACATGCTGGATATTTAGACAGAATCTATTAAGGCAGTGATACTTTAGTTTGGTTATAAAAATACTTTAACAATTAATACGAATCGGTGAAAACTCCCAACCAAACAGAAGAAGAAAGAAAACCATTTAGTACAAATCCTTCGCTTTCCTTCTATGGCAGTTGTTGAAATTCTTCCGCAACACACCTTTGTTTCGATAGCTGGAAATAATTTCGCACAGTCGTGTCAGGCTCACCATAGATTTTCAGTGCTTTAAAACAGTGCTGTAAATTACCTGCAAAAGTGTCTGACGTAGCTTGCTAAAGGCTAATTATGGACATTTCTCTAAAACCCCTCGCGGCTTGTTAACCTCTCACTGCTAGGTGTAATTGATTGAACTTCATGTGATTTTTTAGATCTAACAGAGTCTGTATGTCATATTCTAATTTATATCCTGATATACATGACATATTTTGCTACGATGGTGAACCTCACGAATTGAAAATAACTTATGATTAGTGTGCCAGGCGAAGTGAACAAAATAAGGTTAACTGAATCTAGTTAGAGGAAAATGCCAAGATGTGAGATTAAGTGCTTATTTTCATATAATTTTAATTTGATATGAGTCTAAAGATATTTGTTTCAATTATTTATCTTATTTTCATAAAATTGTTCCTTGATATGAGTCTTAAAATAATTGTTTTGATTTATTTGACTTGAATGTTATATGACTCGCGTATTATAAGACTTTTGTACATTCTTTTCTTGATATGAGTCTTGAGAAAATTATTTGAATTTATTCGTTTATATGTCAATATGCTAGACATTGAAATTATAAAGTTTGTAAGATGTTATGCCGATATATTACTAGTTAACAACTGTTGTAGCTAAAACAATAAGTGAATTTTGTTTAATTCATTTATATAACCAAGATCTGAATTATTAACCGACGTTAGGTGTGTTAAAATTGGAGTCACATTGGACCATCTGATGTGAAGAAAGAGGTGATGGTGTTTTAACCAAGAAGAAAAGACCCATCAGACTATTTATTTATTTTAAATTTTAAATACGCTACAATGTGTGACGTAACAACTCCGTATTGCAGTTAATTACATGTAAAGGGCTGGATGTGTGTGTGTGTGTGTGTGTGTGTGTGTGTGTGTGTGAGAGAGAGAGAGAGAGAGAGAGAGAGAGAGAGAGAGAGAGAGAGAGAGTCGGGTAAATCGATCCCAACCTATATTGAATCTGGAGTGGTCCGCAACGAAATCATTATATTATGCAGACATGCTGGACAACTGAGTTCCTAAACGTTCAGTCAATACGGTGTTATTGGAACTGCTAATTACATTTTTAATAACTTACGGT